GTCACATGACATTAGGCGACTTTTTCTCCATTGCCGGCAATGGGATGGGTGTGGTTTCAATATGATGCATCCGGCCCGCGGGCCAGCAGTTTGACATGCCTGGTCTAGTCCTATAATATTCTATTTACTGCAACTTAGGCTCAGAGCTCACAAAATTCAAAGGCATCATAATTTAGAACTTAAGAGTTACTACATTCTACATTGCCAGTCATACCATTATTTAAGCCCCAGATTTCTAGGGTCTGTGAGGAACTCTCAACTGCACAAATTTCAGCCTTACATGTGGACGATAATCAGGAAACAACCAACAGGGCAAGATAAGTCATCAAATCATTATACTCCCTCTTCCATACATATGAATCAAAATTGCACTATGTATAGAGATTGATTATGGGAGCAACCCAGTGGTGAAATAATATTTCTTTCAGACACATATTTAATTTTGACCTAGCTATTGCTCTCTTTCTGTTCTTTCATTTAAGATACCAATGCTTCTAAAGGCTAAAGTAATAACAGGTAAAATAACTAATTTTTAGTTAGTTTTGTATGTTTTTCAAACAAAGGGGTGTTTAACTTTGTACTTAGAAGAATGTCTGTATACTGATATTTAAAAATAAAGACTGCCCTTGAATCAAATTACTAACCCAGATCCTTTAGAGCTGTCAGAATGTAAGAAAAATGTTTATATCTAAGAAGATAATCAATAGCAACTGAAGTTCTATTACACAGCTTCTTCTCTTCTTTACTTTCTTTATTGGCAATGATCAAACTATCTCGCAGAGATCTGGTTTCTGGAGTATCAGTCTTCTTTCTCCAAGAATATCCTCTCCACAGTGCCTTGTAAGGGGAGAGTGGAAAATTGCATGTTTAAGGAATAAAAGAAGTGGCAGAAACTTCCTATAATGTAGCTTTATTATTTAAAAATAAATTCCTCTACTTTTTTCAGGTAACATTATTTTTCTCCAAAAACAATTTTTTTTCTCAAAGTCATTCAATGAAAATTCATAAATGGAAAGTTTTAGATAATGGGCTATTCATTAAACATTCCCAGATAATCATTGAGCAATATGCAAGATTTTAGATCTAGTTCACACAATATCCTAGAGAAAAATCGTTGTTTCCATGTTTGCGAGTTTTTAGAGTCAGTTGATCTGAAGCAGAATGAGCAAATTTGACTATTTTTTTTATTTTTATTTTTAAATATTCATATAGCTGTCCATCTTAAAACTCTGCACAGCTTACAAACAATAAAGCAATATAAACAATTATAAAAACCAACAATAACAATAACAATAGAAAAACCCTGTGCCTCAGCCACATTTCTTTTATGCACTGAGATTCTCAGCCCACTTTGGGCTTGCCCTAAGCCAGGGGTAGGTAACCTTGGCTCTTTTATGACTTGTGGACATCAACTCCCAGAATTCCTGAGCCAGCCATACTGGCTCAGGAATTCTGGGAGTTGAAGTCCACGAGTCATAAAAAAGCCAAGGTTGCCTACCCCTGCCCTAGGCCTATTCCATTGCCTGGGAGCCAGGTTTTATGTACTCTGTGGAAGAATAGACATGAAGGGGCCTATCAGATCTCAGAAGGGAGGAGCTGCTACAGAAAAAGTATAATTCTAAAGTCCTACAAGATGGTAATATTTAAATGTGGATATCCCAAATGTCCACAATTAAATTATGAACAACAAAAACTTCATTACAAGTTGATTTGATTTCTTTTACCTAGATCACTGCATGCCCAAGGAAAAAAAAAATCCAAAAGAAAACATTTGGCTTTAAAACAAACTGTCTTTTATGCACATTCCTAAACTGCATAATTTTTCTGGAAATTTACTTACCTGAAATTTAGTTACTCCAGTGCTAACAATTTGGGGGTTTGTGTTTTTTGGAATTCCAACTGTATTTATAGTTCTGCGGCTAATCCATCTCCTCACTATTCTTTGTATTATAATAATTTTCTTACGATATTGCAGGTATTTCCTCCTCTGCCAGTTTCCTCGATACCATCTCTGTTTTAAAGGGATATAAATGGAACTTGAGCTCATGGCCTCATATGAAATTATGAAAGCAGCAGCCTAACGTAGGTGAGGGACAGCTATAAAAGGATATTCCGTATCTTAAAGGTACTGGACTTACATAATTTTGCTTTTAATTTGTAGTTAAATTGTATCAAATGATATTTAATTCAAGCTTATTCTGGCAGCAATGAATGCTGGGGAAAACTGATTTTTTTAAAATACCTGTATTTTTATTGTACTTCTTTTCATTCTGGAAAACCTTTGTCGTTCAATGAAACCTCTCACTGTAGCTTGCAAAAGAATTATTCTCTTATGTGTTAGTAAATAAACCATTGAAAGATGTTTCGTAGTCAGGTAAAATCGGTAACGTTGTTGTATCAAAACTGCAGCTTTCCAATATTTCTGGTATTGTTCTGTGGCTTCATTTGTCTGGCACTGACTCTTTGATTCAATAGCTTCAATTCTACAATTCACAGCTGTAGGACACAACTGTCTGTTTCTTGCTGCATGCATTTTCTTTGCTATCTTGCGTGCTACCATTCCACGATAGGCAGATTGAATAATTATCACAGCCCAACATATCAATTTGTAATGCTTTCGCTGTACATACATCCGATAAAAAGATTGGATGATAGTTGCCGAAACATGCATGGTGTCCAGTTCTGGCTGTATTTTTGTTCCTCTGCAAGTGACCTGATTTGTTATAGATTTCTGAATTGTCTGACGTGTATTTTGATGTTTTTCCTTTAGATGTGATCGATAGTACTTCTGCACGGTAACAGTAGCATATCTCAGTTTCTGGTAAGCTAATTTAACTTTATACATTCTAAATGTTGCCTGAATCACTGTTGCTGCTAAATGCTGGCGTTTGACTTCTTTCCGTATTTTAAAACCTCTATAGAAAGACTGCACACAAATAATTTTTGCACGAACAGAAGCATATTCTTTAGCTTGTCTTCTCATCACAAACAATGCCCTATACCTTCTCTGAAGAGATATAGCAGCCGCTTTTAAGGTAAGGTAATTTTTACGTGCTCTTTGCATTTTAAAGTTCCGCTGAAGCAAGATAGCAGCTTCCTGCCTTTTTTGGTTTCTTGCCTCCATCCTGCGAAAAGCTTTCTGAATGCAGATGGCAGCTTTCTTGATGGAAGAATATTGCTGGACTGCAATTTTGCCCTCTTGGTTGGCTCTGACTCTCTCCTGGATGAGTCTAACTGCCCACTGAATATTTCTGTAGGACTTCCATTGCCTGTGTTTTCTATAGTTACTTTGTATGACTACTGCAGCTTCGTGTTTTCTCTTTAGCACATGCCTCACTTTCATTCCTCTGTAAACTGCCTGAAGAATTAAAGCAGAGCGACGCTGTTTCAAGTACAAAGCTCTGGCTTGCTTGCCTTTTCGGTATGCCCTGTAATATTGCTGTATTACAACACAAGCAGACTTCACAGTTCTGTATGGAGTGTAGGCTATGTGCATCCGAAAGGTTGCCTGGATAACTGCAGCAGCCAGATGCATCTGCTTTACGTATCTCCTGACAAGCAGGCCTCTGATGGTAGACTGTATTACTATTACGGCTCTACGTAAATGAAGGAACTTCTCGCGTTGCTGTTTTGCTCGGTACCTTCTCTGAAGAGATATAGCAGCCGCTTTTAAGGTAAGGTAATTTTTACGTGCTCTTTGCATTTTAAAGTTCCGCTGAAGCAAGATAGCAGCTTCCTGCCTTTTTTGGTTTCTTGCCTCCATCCTGCGAAAAGCTTTCTGAATGCAGATGGCAGCTTTCTTGATGGAAGAATATTGCTGGACTGCAATTTTGCCCTCTTGGTTGGCTCTGACTCTCTCCTGGATGAGTCTAACTGCCCACTGAATATTTCTGTAGGACTTCCATTGCCTGTGTTTTCTATAGTTACTTTGTATGACTACTGCAGCTTCGTGTTTTCTCTTTAGCACATGCCTCACTTTCATTCCTCGGTAAGCTGCTTGAAGAATTAAAGCAGAGCGACGCTGTTTTAAGTACAAAGCTCTGGCTTGCTTAGCTTTTCGGTATGCCCTGTAATGTTGCTGTATTACAACACAAGCAGACTTCACAGTTCTGTATTGAGTGTAGGCTATGTGCATTCGAAAGGTTGCCTGGATAACTGCAGCAGCCAGATGCATTTGCTTTACGTATCTCCTGACAAGCAGGCCTCTGATGGTAGACTGTATTACTATTACGGCTCTACGTAAATAAAGCAACTTCTCACGTTCCTGTTTTGCTCGATACCTTCTCTGAAGAGATATAGTAGTCACTTTTAAGGTAAGGTAATTTTTACGTGCTCTTTGCATTTTAAAGTTCCGCTGAAGCAAGATAGCAGCTTCCTGCCTTTTTTGGTTTCTTGCCTTCATCCTGCGAAAAGCTTTCTGAATGCAGATGGCAGCTTTCTTGATGGAAGAATATTGCTGGACTGCAATTTTGCCCTCTTGGTTGGCTCTGACTCTCTCCTGGATGAGTCTGACTGCCCACTGAATATTTCTGTAGGACTTCCATTGCCTGTATTTTCTATAGTTACTTTGTATGACTACTGCAGCTTCGTGTTTTTCCTTTAACACATGCCTCACTTTCATTCCTCTGTAAGCTGCCTGAAGAATTAAAGCAGAGCGACGCTGTTTTAAGTACAAAGCTCTGGCTTGCTTAGCTTTTCGGTATGCCCTATAATGTTGCTGTATTACAACACAAGCAGACTTCACAGTTCTGTATTGAGTGTAGGCTATGTGCATTCGAAAGGTTGCCTGGATAACTGCAGCAGCCAGATGCATTTGCTTTACATATCTCCTGACAAGCAGGCCTCTGATGGTAGACTGTATTACTATTACGGCTCTACGTAAATGAAGGAACTTCTCGCGTTGCCGTTTTGCTCGATACCTTCTCTGAATTGTCACAGCGGCTGATTTAAGAAAAATAAATTTACGTCTCTGACCAAAAGCTTTAAAATTTCTTTGAATGATGACAGCAGCCATGTGCATCTTTTTAAAAAGGACTCTAATTTTCATACCTCGGAAAGCCGCCTGGATTTGGAGAGCAGAAATCTTCATCATTTTGTATTTGTATCTGAGCATTTGTATCTGAGCATTTTTATCTCTGGAAGCACGATACCAACGCTGAATCACTTTTGTTGCTGCAACTAACTTTAAATAAGCTTTCCGTTCTCTGTACATTCGATAATATGACTGAATAACCAGCACACACTGGTGCCTACTTCTCAATTCCTGTCTAATTTTCATGCCTCTGTAGGCTGCTTGAAGAATAAGAGATGACTTTCTAAGTGCCAGATATTTTTTCCGATCTTTCTGGCCTCTGCAGAAAGCTCTGTATCGTGCTTGAATTATAGTAGCTGACCTTTTCAGGGCCCTATATTGAACATTACTCCGATGCATTTTAAACATGGCTTGAATACAAATAGCTGCTTGGTTCATGTGCTGGATTTTTCGCCTTTCTCTCAAACCTCGGTAAATTGCCTGCATTTTAACAGCTGCTTCCTTTAAAGCAAGATATTTTTGTTGTGCATTATGGGCTTGCATAATAGCACGATACCATCTCTGAATTGTAACTGCAGCACCCCTGAGATGTTTAAACTTAACTTGATTCTCATGCATCCTATAATAGGACTGAATAGTCACTGCAGCCTGATGCTGTCTTTCGATTTGCCTCCTCACAATAGTTCCTCTCCAAGTTGCCTGGAATAATACGGTGCTGTTGCGAAGAACAATATATTCCTGTTGCTGTTTTTTACTTGAAATGTGAGCCCGATAATGCTGCTGTATAGTAAGAGCAGCACGTTTCACCATTCTGAATCTTTTCATAGCTTTATACTTTCTGTAGGCAGATTGTATAGTAATTGCAGCAACATGTTGCCTCTGAAGCCATTTTCTCACTTGCCAACCACGCAAAAATGCCTGTAAGGAAATCACAGCTGCCTTTGTTTTCTGAAATTTTTTTCTTATTTTGGATCCACTTTTAGAAGTCCTGTACCATCTCTGAATCACGATGGACGCTTGAATCAAACTTTGATATTTCATTCTAGCAGCATGAGCCCTGTACATAGCCTGGATTTTTGTAGCAGCCATGTGTTGGTGTCTTAGCATTCTTCGAATTTTAAAACCCCTGTAGCTTGCTTGCAAACACAAAGTTGCCTTTTGGATTTGCAAAAACTTCTGTCTCTGAAAGGTTTGTTCTCTATGTGCACGATAGTGTATTTGAATGACGGATGCAGCTCCAGACATCTTTAAAAACCGCCGCCTCTCTCTCTTCATTCTGTACCAAGCTTGAAGGACAATTACAGCCTCTTGCCATCTCTGAATAACAAGAAGAGAACACAAGTTATGCATTTGCTTGTTCAGTGTTTTTTTTTTTAAATAAAGTATGAAGACCAACAAATATTCTTCCAGTGAAACCTTTATTTGAACTTGAAATCTGATAGCTTCACGAATAAAAACTACATTTCTTAACCATCTTAAGTAAAAATTGATTTATTTTGACTTATACAAAGTCCATTATACCTGCATTGCAATTCTTTCAGTTTCTTCTTGCATTGCTTTTTTTAATTTCTGAAGTTCCAGTACAGCCAAATATCTTCTCCAGTGCTTTTGAATTACAACTACTGCATTAGATGTTTGCTTCTTGGTCTGAAAAAAATAATAATATAGACAATCCTCTTTTCTTCCAATAGCAGTAGTCTGAGTAACAATAAAGAAAATAGAAAGCAACTGAATACCTCAGCAAGTTTTATTTTCAATCTGTATTTTCTCCAAGCAGATTGAATCAACAGAGCTGCTCGAATCTCTTTAGAAAGACTTATAAGTCTTGAACACAGAAATGACACATAAGTAATGACTACCTAAAAAGAGAGAACATACAAACAGAAACTTACTATGTTGTAAGGAAACAAAACAACTTTGAATTTTAATGACCTGACTGATTACCTTCTCATCAGGTATTGTATTAGACATGTCTGAATGCTGAATCATAGCTGGAATACCTCCCAGATCAGAAACTGCAGCATTGATCAGTTGAAAATTCCTCTTTTCATTGTCAAGAAGTTCTTTATAAAGCACTGAAGTACTAATAGCTTTGTAAGCAAAAACATCAAAAATGAAATATATTAAACCAGAAATAATAGTAACTCATAATTTCAACCTGCTTTGAAGCCAGCTGTATTTTTAATGAACTCACTTTGATCAAAAATTTCATTTATTAGATTTAGAGAAGCATCAGACTCAGAAGAGGAATTCAGCCCAAGAGTGCCATTTCTGGTACATTCTACTGTTTGAGTAGTGCGTTTACATACAGCCTCCAAAGGCACATAACATGGGTGATAATGATGAATCAAATAACATAATACTCTTCCATCTGAAAAGGACACTGTGAAATTTTCCACCTAGAAAAAGGAAATTAAAAAAGTGATTGTTGCTCCCAGTGGTAGCTCTGTGATCGTTGTAAAAATCTAAATCTATAAATCTGTAAATAAATAAATCTACGTTAAAACAGTTCTAAAGCATTAATTCTGAGATAAATAATTTGTTTAGGACCTATTCCTCTGGATTTTTTCTTTTTCACAAACATCTTTTATTTTAAAAAGGCAACATGTAGAAGTATACCTTTTCTTATGTACTAGCTTAAAGTGAGTTTTTTTTAAAGTCAATTTAAGATTGGGAGACAAGCAGGCTGATAGGAAAGAAAGAAACAAGGCTCTATGAGTAGTAAATTGTGGCGGAAAAGTGGGGACTAGGTCAGCAAATTCATTTTACTTCTATTATTTTTATGTTAAATTACATTTTCTTTTTTTGTTACAAGAAAAATGTATCCAAATACTTTTGCATACATATAAATTAAACATAAAACATAAAAAAACCAAAAGAAAATGATGCCAAATAGTTTGGAAATCCTTACTCTACAGAATATTACTCTGAGAGAGTGTTATTCCACAACAACTAGATGACACAAACATTCTGCAGTGGTTTTGTTTAAAAAAAAAAAAAGCATACATTTTGAGACAGATCTCATTCTTTACTTTTGCTAAACTAACCTGAAGCATCAAGTTTGTATTTAAGTTCTGTTCTTATTTAAGATTTCAGCACATAATTTATCTTTAGTGTTACAAATTGTTGGAACATCAAATTAAATAATTGACTTAGCATAACACTGGCTAGTAGAAAATTTAATGAGTTTAAAAGGAATCAGTGTCACATAATTTCTTAACCAAAGTAATTTACAGACAAGTGATTTAATCTAACAATATGCAATATACTTTTGAATAACATACAGTACTATCTTTTATATGTTAAGCACAATCATACTGCCAGGCCATTATGTTTGTACCTGTTTTTCTGCCATAAGTTGCTTTAAATCATCATCATCATCATCATGATACTCTACCAGGAAGCAACTATTTACATGATGCAGTTTAGCATCAATGAATTGTACCAAGAAGAGACAGGACAGTAGCAAATGCTATACTATTATAAATAAATCATATCAACTCTTGCTTTAATATTGTAGTTTTCACTGCAGCAATATTATCCATATAACAAATATATATTCACAACATAAATACATTTGTCTCAACATTTCAATTCACTTTACATTTGAACAAGTTTAATAACTATCATATTCAAAACAGTCTGCTTTGTGAAATTGTTTAAGAAATAATTATTTACCTTAATGTTGTAAAATCCACAGACAACATTCACCCAGTCCATCAGCAGTTTTACATTGTCACCATAGCTGTCATATGAATAAGACCTGCTGATGTCATTTCCCATCTTGCTGACAGATTCCACATCAGGTCTTTTTAATTTTGTAACTTGCATGTTTTTTAAGAAAGCAATTTCTGCTTTTAGCTGATCCACGTCAAGAGAAATATTCACCTAAATAAGATCCAACCACCATTATATTCATAACACATTCCTTATAGTGAAATAATTAAACTGAGAGTATTATTGATGAAATTTTAAAAATCATTCTGAGTAAAGGACGTTAAAACATACCAACTCTCAAGAAATTGCTAAGACATAAATTATTAAAAACTAAAATGGCAACAGGTAAAGTGTAGGATATTACACGTTTTCAAAACTGTTGATTTTGTGAAAACAGTCCAGAGAAATTTCTAATAATTGAGAGGGACTGTGAAAATAATGTCTTAATCTAGGAAAACAGTCCCATATAGCTATATATATAAGCCTATATTATTTAAAATAAACTAATTAGGACTCTGTAATGCTTTGCTCTCAATTCTAAAAAGATCTTCCGAAATATGAAACAGCGCTACCGTAAACTCTACCTGTAATGCTTTAAAGCAACTGTTTTTTTCTTGGAATTATGCAGCTACCATATGATCATAATTTAAAAAGTTTAAATTATGCTTTAAAAAGTTTAATTAAAAAATAATTTAAAAATTGTGCTTTAAAAAGTTGCATACAGTGCTGAAAAATGATGAAAATTAAAATTTAAAATTTAAACTAAGTAATGATAGTAATCAATTTCTTAATAATTTCTGTGTATATTTTAAAGGTTCCAAATCTTAATATCCATAGCTGCTATTCTGTATGACAGCTTTCCATGAAAGCCCTCCAAATGTTAATAAATATGCTCTTATTGGTGTTGTCATCTATTTTGATTTTTTTTCTGAAATTGAGTACTGCACATCTACTTTTACACAATGGCTTTATGCATGAAACAAAATAATGCCATAGTAAGTTCATGCACAGACCATTGTTTGCTGAAATTCTGAAGAAAGAGAATAACTTTATTTTATGCTCTAAAGATAAATTAAACCAATGATTATGCAGTACCTGAAAAGCGAACACTATTTTCCATAACAAAGCAAATGTTTTCTCTCTATGTCGATCTACAATATCCTTTGTGTCAATGGTTGAACCTGTGGATCAATAAAACTGATAGATGAAAAGCAATATCAACAGACTTGTAAGATACCACTTCCCCATTACTTTCTAGAACTTACCATGTTCATCTTTCAACTGAATTCCATGATCATTCAATACCTCAAAAGCAAGTTTAACATTATGCATCTTCTGAAGTCTGCTGATTGCAGGCACTCTTAATTTTTTGGAAAGAGTCCACTCTGATGACAGCAGTTCTAAAGTTCTCCTTAAATACATATATTTCATATTAAAAAGTAATTAATTTCTTCATGCAACATACTTTTGTAATTGTAATGACAAAATTCAGCAAAAACTTACACAAGACGAATGCCACACTGTAAGTCTGTAGCTAAATTTGTAACTGCAAAGTCAAATTCATCAAGCGGAGTCTGTACGTGATTAACAGGGAAACCCAAGAAGCCAAGGTGACGTGAAAGATCACCTTCTCCACTTAAAAAGTCCCGGGAAAATGCTAGTAATATTTCTTTACTAGACTAGAAATAAAGGGGAAAAAATTAGTACACATATACAATAGAGCTACTATCCTACATAATTAATGAGTACTAAGTTAGTGAACTATAATATATTACTGCTAGCTGTATACTTTGTTTTTAATATTATGGACATTAATTGCAATCATTAATAAAACTGCTAGTTACATATCACGTAGATCAAAAATTTGTAATAAACCCATTGTTGATTCAATTCTAATCAGCCCTGAAAAAAAATCTTGTATTAAAAAAATATTCTAAAGAAATTAGCATGGCTTGTGTCTTTCAAACACACAAATATATACAGATTATAGGCAAACATAATTCAAGACAAGTGAATATACCTTAAATTCTGCATTTTTGAAGAATAAGCAAGGGTCGTGTTCAATAATTCGAGACACTTTGGCACGATCAAGGAAGCAAACCAGTAGTAGAAGTTTTTTCAGTGTAAATTTGGACAATGCCTCTTCATGACCTATAAATGCAGTATTTTATATAGAGATGTTTCTTCTAGCTATTTTTTTTTACCTTTGTTATTTTCAGTCAATCTGGATTCCTACATGGATTTTTTTTTTAATTATTTTTGGAAATGTTTGCCATTTCCTTCTTCTTAGGATAGAAAATGACTGGCCCAAGGACACCTGGCTGGCTTCATGCCTAAGGCAGCACTAAAACTCATAATCTCCCAGTTTCTAGCCTGGTGCCTTTAACCACTATACTAAACTTGCTCTCAGTTTTGAAATACAATTATGTAATAGCAAAGAAAAACTTTACCGTCTCGATAAAGGTGAGGCACAGTTGGGTGTCTGTATTCAGCTGCAATATCTGGGTTCCACAACAAGCGATTAAGTATAAATACTGCTAAACTCATCACATCACTGTTACTTTCCAAAGCAATCAGTTCACCAAAGATTGTCTGACAAAGAGAAAAGGGTGAAAATAATTCAAAATATGAATAAAACTATTGTAGCAATAGGATGACATTCAAATTTTTGTAATTACTTGGTAAACAAACATATTAATTTCACTGAGTCTGCATTCCTATAAGTTTATCTTCACAGAATAATTTAGGAAGGAAGAAAACAATATACCATATTATGTTAATGCAGCTGTTCTTATCACTGCAAATCAGTTTAATGAGCCACAAAATACTTCACTTGTTTTGGTCACTGATACCTATTCATGTTAAGTGTTACATTCCCGACCAGAAGAATTTTGCATTAAAGAATATCTTATCCTGGTCTTGAACAGTTCCTTGTAACATGATAATCATTAGACTTCACAAAATAGCATATTGCTTACAGAATAATCATTACAAATTACAGACTCACTTCTAGGCCTATGCGCAACCATAGTGGATTGTAACATAAAATCCAGCTGAGGATTTTCTGTCGTTCTCCTGAAAGAAAGACAGGGCAAAATCATTATGTAGTGAAAGCATTTCTGAATGTTACAGAAAGATATTGATGACAACATTAGTAGCAGAGGCATGGTCAGTTTATCCATCTATTTTCTTAAGCCAACCCCCCCCTCTAAAACACAACTATATTCTTACCAATATCCTTCCAAAGGTGTCTGTCTTTTCGAACTAGCAAGCGTTTTGCTTCAATCTCAATCTCCAGCCTTTTTATTGCTTTCACTATTTCATCGCAGGTAAACAAACGGCAAGCTGACCTACGAAGTTTGTTTAATTTGCATCGAGTTGTATATGCTCTTAATGATGCTTCTTCTTTTGTTGGTGCTTTAGGAACACTGGATTTATAAGTCTCTGTTCCCAGGATGAGACATGCTGTATTAACTAATAAAGAGAAAATAGTTGTATGTGTTTAACACTTACACAATCTCATCTTAAAAATTATTATTTCATTTACTTCCATGCTTTTCCTGATATTTCCTGGTCATTAAGTGACTCACTATATGACCACACCAATTTTAAATTCTTTTTATGGTGGCCGTTAAGCAAATGCATTTTCATCAATTGGCATTTTTGCTGGAAACCAGAAGAAACTGGCAAAGAAATGCTCCAAATTGCAGCCACGTTGTCTGCAAGATGCTGCAGGCAGCCAAAAATGTGAGCCGGTTGCCAGGTACCCAAAATATGATCACATGCTCTCTCTGTGTGTGTGTGTGTGTGTGCGCGCGCGCCCATACGGCCACCAGAACTTTAAAAGCAGATCCTAAGTAACTCTAGGAAATTGTTAAGCGAGGATTACCTGTGCTACTTTCTATCCAATTCTCAAAACTCAACCAAAAACAAAAGAAAACAAGACATTACTTTAGGCAACGTTGAAAAACTGAGACAACTAGGGACTGATCAGAAAGAAAATGAGTAATTAAGAGCAATGCATACCACAATAAAGGAGATGGCTACTAAATGCTGAAAAGATATGTGGGGCTGTAAAATTCCTATTAATAATATCATATATCTAATGTGTAAATCAACTTATTAGAATAAACATATATATCATTGGATTGTCATTAGAAGGATGGCCAGATGATTGAAACATGCTGAGCACAAGTGATACCAAATCCTAAGCAAGTCCAGCAACCAAGAGAAAAGACCCTTTAATCTGATTACCAGGCTGACTTCAGATAATAGTAACAGGTACTACACAACTATATTACTAGCTGGTTGTAATAAATGTACAGATGCATGAAAGAACTGTAATGAAAAGTTTTTATGCATATAGATAGCTACCGTATATACTCGAGTATAAGCCGAGTTTTTCAGCACATTTTTTGTGCTGAAAAATGCCCCCCTCGGCTTATACTCGAGTCAGCGTCTCGAGAACAGAGGAAAGTGAGTACCGTAGTTCTTTTTTTGGGGGGGGGGGAATCTATGCAATCACTAAAAGTCAACACCGGCTTAATCTATATCCAATAACGTCACAAAATAGTTTTAGGCGGCAGTCTTACAAATGTGCATGAGCAAAATGAGTTTCGCGGTTCGGTCAAAACGTTTTCGGAGTTGCCTTCTTAGACTTTAATGACAATAATCCCGGAAGTGCGACTCCCTCCGCGAAAGAGAAGCCCGGCCAGGAACCAATATAACCCCGGGAAACATATGGCCCCTACTACAGCTGCGCACCTTTGGCCTCACGGTTGCTCTTTTAAGCATTCCTTCTCCGTCGCTGTCGGCATTGCTCGTTTAAGGCCGCCTCGTTTCTCGGTCAGGTGTGGAGCGGAGGCTGGGCTGCCGGATCCCAAAGGCGGAGGAGAGGGATCAGCGAACGCACGTATCACCGGCAGGATAGCGGAGAAACGCGTGTCCCGCTAGTACTTTTCCACTTACAGAGCTAGGTTATTGTTTTTCTTTGAAATAAATATTCATGTAATTTTATTGGTATCTATCTTCATTTTTTACATTTACCAGTAGCTGCCTCATTTCCCACCCTAGGCTTATACTCGAGTCAATATTTTTTCCCAGTTCTTTGTGGTAAAATTAGGTGCCTCGGCTTATATTCGGGTCGGCTTATAC